ATAGGGAGGATGCTGGTTCACGCAAAGTGACTTCCTGAGCTCCGAGCTTCGCTGATAATTAAAGAGCTGCGCTCCTGAGCCTTCTGAGAAAACATGCCCGCGGTTTGAAAATAGGTCACAAATTTCTTTTTAAAATCAAACATCTCAGCATGTAGATATCTGAGTCGAGCCTGGCGTCTTCCGGCCGCTGAAGGTTGACTGGTCTTGCCTTTCCTTGCTTGGGTCTTTCTCTGAGCGCCGGGTTGGGTGCAGAGTAGGTGCTGACCAAAGATGTGTGGGTTAGGGCTCCCCTTCCAGCGCCCGTCAGCCACACGTGCATGACTTTGGGGACATTCGGTCGCCCAGCAGACATTGACAGGGTATTTCCTAATAGCTTTAATTATTGAATCCTTTGCTGACACCTCTCTGGGGAAAAAAGAGAAAAAGAAAAACCATTTGAGACTTTAATGGCACCTATTTTGGGCGCTGCTCTTGCGGGGAATGGAGGCTTTATTGTGCCCTCATTTGGTTCTGGAGTTCGCCTTCTTCCGCATGGTGACCTGTGTAAACGCAGAGCCTATGATTCATCAGTGCTCAGGGACGCCTCCCCTCCCCGCAAACCTGCGCCTCCCACAGCGCCCCCTGGCCCTGCCAGCAGCCCAACCAGCCACCCAATTGCAGGAGTCAGGAACCTGGGAGTCACCTGGACCCACCCTCCCTCGCTCCCATGTAGGCCCGGTGATTTCTCCTCTCGGATCAGCCCACCTCCACTCCCCAGTCATAGATCACATCCCACCAGTTCCCTTCCGGCTCCCAGTGGAAGCCTTCCAACAGATCTCCCACTTCCACAGGACACTGCCACCCCAATGTCTCCCTCTTCCCCAGGGCAGGGTCCCAACAGTGCTTGTGGCGTAGGTGAATGTCGCCTCGCCCTCATTTAAATACCCTTCAGTGGCTTCCCATGCTTCTGAAATGGAGCTCAGCCTCACTTTTGAAGGTGCCCTCCAGGGCCTGCCTGGGGGTGGGGTGGCTGCTAACTTTCTTCCTGGAAGCGCCTGTTCACGGCCTCATTCCTTCTGCTGCTGCTCTCAGTCAACCCCTTGAACCTGCCGTGTTCTTTCCCACCAGCGAACCATTTGCGACCCCTTTATAGCGCAGTGGTTAAAGCATTGGACAGGGAACCTAAAAGTCAGCTGTTCAAACCCACCAATCAGTAGGAGAGAAATGGAGCAGTGTGATTCTGCAAGCACTGCAGCCTTAGAAATGCATGAGGCAGTTGGACGCTGTCCTGTAGGGTCACTATGAGTCAGAATGGTCTTCACGGCAGTGCGTGGGACTCTGGTCTGATTTGGGACCATTGGCCTGGTACACCATTCCTTCCCCTGCCCTCAACTCTTGTCCCCATCCCTTCTTGTCCCAGGTGTTTCCACAAAGCATCACATCCTCCCAGGAGCCTCCTCCTACCCCCAAGTTGAGTTCTTGACTATGTACCCCTACTGCAAAGCACTTATCTCAGTGTACCTGGGTTTCGGGTGACCATTTTACTACCACCTGGCTCCTGCTGTTGGCAGTCACCTCCCTGGAATCAGGAGTACACTTGCTTTGTTCCCCTGTGCCTGTCTAGGGCTCAGCACAGTGCCTGGCACTTAGGAGCTGCTTAAGATTTGCTGTATACATTGAAATACAGATACTTAAGTAGGTCTTCTGCTGATTAAAGAGGTTACGATTAGGGAGGTGGTCCAGTATTCCTCTAAACTATTCCTTCGGGGTTGTGTTAGCCCAAGTTGACAAAGAAACAAATTCAGAGACATTCATTTGTGTATGAGAGAGGTTTATATTAAAGAGGAATTGTACCTTAAGAAACCATCCCAGCCCAATCCAGATCAAGTCCATAAGTCCTATATTAGGCCATATGTCCAATACCAGTCTATAAATTCCTCTTCAGACTCACTAAACACATGTAATGACACCGAATGCAGGAAGATCACAGGCCAATGGGTGGAAAGTCTTGTGGATCTAGTGGCTTTGTAAGCATCTCAGCACTGGTGTGGGTCTCCATGTGGCTCCTCCAGCTCCAGGCCTCTGGCTCTCCATCAGCGTAGCTCCATGTGACTTGTCAACAGGAATGTTTTGCAGGGAGAGAGTGTGTCCCACCTCCTGAGAGGGAGACCGGAGTTCTTAGAGTCCTCAGAAAAAGGCCACACCCACACAGAGGCCACCTTAGCTATGACCTGATTGGTAGGCTAGACTCCACCCCTTTGCTCAAGTTGACAGGAGGTTTTGTAACTGCCACGGGGGTCTTGTAAGATTGCATCTAAGTGAGGGGAAGTTTGACACTGTAAGATTCTTCATCCCTGCATGACTCAGAGTGGGAGGGTCTCAATGACCACTGTGCATCAAGACACGAAAGTCTGCCATGAATGTCGGCCCGACCCACATTTCTCTCTGGGTCCTGTTCTTAGTGTTAGCTATAGTAAGTCTCCTCTGAATGCTCCCAGTGCCCTGTGCTTCATCCTGGGGCCATTCCGAGTCCATGCCAGGGATACCACTTTTATTCCCCAGCTAGTACCACGAGATCTCCTTATCTTCTAAAACAGCGGCTCTCAACCTGTGGGTCGCAACCCCTTTGATGGTCAAAGGACCCTTTCACAGGGGTTGCCTGACTTAGTAGCAAAACGACAGTGATGAAGTAGCAACGAAAATCTTTTTATGTTTGGGGGGGTCACCATCACAGGAGGAACTGTATGGAAGGGTCACGGCATGCGGAAGGTTGAGAACCACTGCTCTAAAGTCGCCCAAGAACCCTTTCATCTTTCGAGGGTTCTCTCCCCTGTGTATGTGCAGTCCGTGGGATAGGAGGGAGGAAGGGTGCTGAGTAGGCCCAGAGGCTGGGGAAGGACAGCTTGCCTCCGTGAGTCCAAGGGTCTCTGACCATTTTCCCCGCTAAGATGAGGATGACGACAGCTAGGCAGGTTCCACACTTTGAACGTCTTGCTTACTTTTCACAACAAGCCCGTGATGCCCGTGCAATTATCCCCGTTTTATAAACGAGAAAAACGAGGCCTACAGATTAAGTAACTTCCCAGGCAGTCTGGCCTCAGCATGTAGCTTTATTTATTTATTGTCATTTAGTTTTTTCATACTTTATTTTGGTGCATGTGCATACAAAGATACATCATTTCAACAAGGTCCACA